TCAAAAATATTAGGATAAAAGGCAATAAGATAACATGGAGCAAAAGACTAGTGGTCCCCAACAATACTGATATATACTGAACTAGGCAGAAAATGTCATTCAGTCTGTTCTGACAACATAAGCAGCACTGTGCAGTCCTTCCTGATACCCACTATTGTACCAGTGACAAGACATGACAAGAGCTGCTTTGTCTTCCCTGCCTGGCGCTGCCCTGCTAGGGCAGAGCTGGCCTTTGAGGAATGATGTGTATGAGGTCAGTCTTAGCAAATCTGCTTTTTATCCTTCTTGGTCCCACTTTCATCAACAAGGCCTTATTTATACTGAGGTTTTGTTTTTAGGTGTGACAAGCACTACTGTAAATGGTCTTCTGGTATTTTTACCTCAGACTCATCTCAACATCTGACACAAAAAGAGTAATAACACTGCTTTGGAGAAGTCTCCCATAATGCTCTTACCATTGCAGTTACTGACTGACAGAGTTAAGACTGCTGTGAAGCTGATATCCCAAAGCATTCTTTTTGCCCTCCACAGCACATGGATTAAACCAGGCAGCTCTAAATTTAAAAACCTGTTAACTGACAGGGCAAAAAAAATCTCCCTGTTTTCAGGTGTCATGTCACCAAAACGTTTTTTCTTTTTCTGTTATAATAATAAATTTTGTTACAATAAAGAGTTAAAGAATTTTGTGCTGTACTTGGTACAAGTACAACCCTTAGTCTGGAGCAAAGGTGAGGCGGGAAATTTTGGCTTTCTCTTAAAAAAAGGACATTAAGAACTAGGAAGAATGATTAAAAAGAATTCACTCAGAATATTCTCTGAACATCCATGTTTCATCTGGTTTATAAAGAAGGGACTGGAGTTTAGGAAAAGAGATGAGTTCAGTTGCTTTAAATCCAGTAGACAGCTGATGCTGATCAGTCTGTGACTTGTTTATAAACATTTCTATGCATCCCTGTGAACCAGGGAGAAGAGAACTTCTTTATAGGCTCCTTCCTAGACAATCCTATAGGAGCTATGGGAGATGCAGTCTCCTTTTGCACACATTTGTAATGAAGAATTTGTGCAGATCAGTGATGGCCTACAATCTGTTATAGAAATATGACTATTAGGTTAATAACAGTATGCAATCCAAAGAAGATAAAACCTATCAGTATATTCAGAGCTCAGAATAAGTGAATTTTACCTATGTGTACTGCATAATATATTCTTCCCCTTACATCTTCTTGGTGTCAGTTCATGGCACTGGTGAAAAACGAGGCTTTAGATAGTTCAGCTTTCTGCATCAGTGTAACTGCATATGGGCACTAAGTCATTCATTGCAGACAATGTCTATAATTCCACTTAAATGAATTTTAAAAAGAAAGAATTTGATTCTTTCCTAGGGAAGAATTGCATTACAATATAGCTTCATACATGCAGTCAGCATCTTGCACAAGGAGGCCAGGATTTTTGAAACTGCAGAGCGAGCCTTTTCTGGGTCCCTGCAGTCTGAATAGAAACCCACACATGCTTACTATTTGCATATGTCCCCATTATGCTTTGGAATTCACAGAAGACTATTCCATACTGAGGAACAGATATTTCTTTTCTTTTCTTATGGAAATTACTGTTCCTCAGAGTGTCTAGAAGTTACTGAGCAGTACTAAGCTATGTTTCTCTTTCTTCTCTATAACATTATACAATTTTCCCTGTCTGTTCTTTTAATCCTACATATCACATCCTCTTTGTGTTTCTAAGGAAATATGATCTGTTTGATAGCAATTTATTGCTATAAAGTGATCTATCTCCATAACAGGTAAAAAGCCTCTATTGCTAACTGAGCTTTTTAGACAGATTTTATAATAAGGTTTTGAATCCTTTTTCTTGTTCAGCCTTAAACTTCTGAGAACATTACACTTAAAAGCCTAGTTTTCCACAGAAATAAAAGGTAAATATTGATTAATCTTTTACAAAATGTAATTATCTGCTCTGCCATAAAAAAAAAAAAAGAAAAAAGCTCCACCATAAAGCTTTAATGATATGTGTCCTTAATACAGTTTCAGTTAGTATCAGTAGAGAAAATTGAAATGAAGTATGTAAGGGAATAAAATGTTTTTATCTCAAAGACAAAACAAAAAGGAATCAATCTGTTACTGACATACAGGAAAGCTGGTCCTTACAACCACAGTTTCACTGCAAGGTGCTGTATTTGAGTGTCGCATAAACAGCAGTACATGAGGTAGTCTGAAGGAAACTTTGAGTAATTACGTTTAGAAAGGGAAGTGGAGAAACTTCTCGAAAAGAAAAAAGTGCCTGAAGAATAGTTCCTCACACTTAAAAACCCCCAAAAACCAACATATCAGCTAGTGAAACACCAGAACTACAATTCCTGCCTATATCAAATGCTTGCATCCATTGAATCACTCCATGGTGAGTCATCCAGTGCAGACAGTACTATATGACATGATGCCATGGAGTGGGAAGGCTGAAGATCTCCCCAGTGATTCTCTGATAAAAGCCAAATAGTTCTTAAATTATATGGCTTCTCATTTTCCAGGGATAACATGCTCAAACACAAAGGAAATGCTATTGGTTGGAGAAACCTAGGCTGAAAAGAATTCCGAAAAATATGGATATAGCACCATCTACTGACATTATGGGCCTTTGCAGGTGGATGCTTTTTAAAAATTGGGAGACCTACGGGTTGCATTCCTCCTTGTATTTACAGCTCTGTAAACTCAAGATAATGCTGATCCTTGCCTCAAGGGTTTAGCAGCTGAAATGAGACTGAGAAAACATGGTATCTGAAGAGAAAAAATGAGGAGAAAAGGGAGGAAAAATGAGACCAAAAATGAGACCAAAACTGAGTAGCTGAGTGAGCCAAAGTGCGTCCTGGAGCTAAAAGGAGGATGTTGCTAGTGAAGGGAGTAAGTTCTCAAGATGTCATTTGAGAGCCCCAAGACTTTCCTTCCTTTTGGTTTTGAACTGCGTTCCTATGGGCCATCCATACAGTTTATCAGAGCCAGTGGAACTCTGTTAAATAAGTTTCCCTCTCCTCTGTTCTATGTAATTTTCCTGCTGGTGAGATAGGTTGGCAGCAGTAAGGGCCTGCTTGAAGACCAGAGTTGGTGTAGACAGCCAGGTGCTGTGGAGGAGGGTAGGAATGCGGTCATACCAAAGGACTGTCAGATTGTCTCAGCTGCAACTTGTAATTTCATGCTTCCTGGGTTATATTTAGTTCATTGACTTGATTTATTATTGTTACATAGACATTGAAAAGTGTGCAAACAGCCAAGATGGAAACTCTACAGGTAGGGTGAGCTCAGCTGTCAAAGGAAACTGCTCCTGGAGCTGCAGAGCAGGTTTATTAAGGTGAGTCTTGAGAGAAGAGCAATGAGAAGAGGTAATGCTCCTCTCCCACCTCCTAGCCAGGGTGTCCCCACGGCACACACCATCTGTCTCGGCTGCTGAAGCAGAAACAGCAGGCAGCACGCACTGGGGAGAAAAGTAGGGCAAGACACGGACCTGGAACAAGTTGATTAGGACAGGATGAAAGATTGATATTTTTTGTATCATCTTTTGGTATCGACTTTTAGAGCCATAGTACTGCTGCTGTTATGGAACACCAGAGAACCACAGAATCACAGAAAAGGCTGGGTTGGAAGGGACCTTAAAGATCACCTCGTTTGAATGCCTCTGTGGGCAGGAACACTTTTTACCAGACCAGGTCCCTTATGAGCCTCTGTGCCAACCAAAACATGACCAGTCCATGCTCCCAGAGCCACACTGGAAAGCAATATAACCTTGTTTTTTTGTAGATGCAACTGAAATGGTCATCTTGCTAGATTCATACTAGGCAGCTGATCTACTTAGTTCTCCCCTGTAAGAAAAAATCATGTCATTGTTCCTTGTGAAGCACCTCCTCAACTTTTTGCCCTGGATTCTTTGGTTCTAATAAAATATATCAGCAGTAAATAATAAATATTAAGAAAGCAAACTCAATCTGTCACCAAATTTTTTTTTCCTATAAAAATAGATGTTTGCTGAGTGGAATGGTATATGATACTGAACCCAGAATGTGCACAGAATAGGATACTAATACAGGTGAACCCCCAGAAATCAGTTTCCTGTGTGACTTTGTCTTTATCCCTTCAGAATGACAAAGTTGGTGTTTAATCAGAGATCTTTCATACTTTCTCTGTACTTCATAAAATATTTTTATTTCTCTCGACCTCAGAAGTAAGTCAGTATTTTGGATGATGTTGCACATGTCTGTATCAAGACAGAAACAGGCTGCATACTTGAAAATTGTTTAAAGAACAGCTTTTAAAATTATTTACAAAATGCATACACAAATGCATCCCTGGGCAACACCGAGATCGGAGCATGCTGACCATGGAACCCCACCCTGGGGCCGTTTCTTGGCCGTTCTGTCTCCGATTCACACAAAACCGCAGTCTCGGGCATATACTCCCTCCACGCTTACATCCGCTTTAGTGCGTTGATGCTGACCTTTCCCACTGCATTAGACAAAGCGGCATCTAAAGACTCCACTCCTTAGTAAGAAACAGGCAGTTGTCAATCTTGAATCACGTAACTGCCCAAAAATCAAAGCCGTATTATAAGCCTCCGAATTTCTCGCGCTGTCATTGCCCAGTTTCACACCCAGGCTTGCACAAACGTGCGAAGCCCGTCTCCCGCACCGAGGCCGGGGAGCAGCGCAGGGCAGCGCGGAGGCCCCGGCCTGCGGCCGGAGCTGCGCACACCCCCCCAAGGCCGGGCGCGCCGCTCTGCCGCGTTCCACCGACCAGAGCCGCTCCCCCGCGCACGGGGCACGCCCAGCGCCCTCAACACCCGCGACCCGGCACCCGCCAGCCCCAGCAGCGCACGGCAACACCGCGCGGCTGCGACACAAGCAACCACCGCCCCGGCTGCGGCCAGCCCCGCTCCCCTCCCTCGCCCGCAGCCGCCGCCGAAGCGCCGCCCGGCGCCCTCCCATCCCTTCCTTCCCTCCTCGCAGAGCGCCGCGAGCAGCCATGATGGTGGGTCCGGGGCGGCCGCGGAGCCGGGCCGGGGCGGGGCAGGGCGGGCGGCGCGGCCGGGCACTCGCTAACCTGTGCGCTTTGTCTCCCCTCACCCTGCCTGCCGCCGGCCGTGCCCCTCCGTACCCCCTGCCTGCGCCGTCGCCTCGCCCCCAAGCAGGAAGGCTCGGACGACGGCCCAGATTTCCTCTCGGAGGAGGACCGAGGTGTAAGTGCCGCGGGGAGGCGTCGGGACTCGGTGCCTGAGGCTGGGCGTGGGGGAAACGGGGTCGGCCCCTCTTCGGGGGCCTCCGGGCGCTGCTGGCCCGAGACCGCCGCGTGGGTGTCGGGCGGAGGCGGGATGCTGGGCTGCGAGCGTCCGGGCTGTCTGTCTGTCCGTCCGTCCGTCCGCCCGCCGGGATCTGCTCCTGGCACAGCCCCCCGCTGATACCGGCGTCTGTGTGCGTGTGCTCATTGTTCTGTCACCCAAGTTTTGGAAGGACAGTTCTTTCGTGCTGTCGTTGGCTTAGCTGGGGAGGGGGTTGCGGCCGGAGGTGGATGTTCTCTGCCTGCGGCCCCGCTCTCCCGCTGCACACGCCCGGCGGGGCCGGTCCTGCCCAGGCTGCCCAGCCCTGGGAGCGCCGGGCTCCATCGCGATCTAGGGCCTGGGTGATGCAGTCCTGCCCTCCCTTCTCCCTTCAGGCCCAGGGGGCTCTCCCATAGATAACAATGAGACATTTACATTGCAGACGCATGCTACATAATAAACTCTTTATTGCAGAGAAGTTCTGTTGTTGGGACAGGATGCCACAATTACGTTTCTTACTGAGAAAACCTTTTTCTCTGTCTTTCTGTTTCTGGCCTTAGTTTCTCTTCTGACTGCTGTATCCGTCTTTATTTAACTTGACTGCCTCACTTAAGCACAAATCAGCTAACCTAGTATAATTTAGTAAGACTGATTATCCCTGTCACTTAGTATCTTGAGAAAGACCAACTGTGAGCAAGGTAGGAGAGCAGCTTCAGGGTTGCTTAGGTTCCCTTGGCTGTTGGTGGTTATTGAAGTGACTGCATACAGTATATTCCTAAAAAACCAAAAACCTGAGAAACGCTGTGTTGGTATGATGTTTTATCATGCACACCACAGTCAAATGTTAAGTTCAGTGCATTTTATGTTCCAGTTTATGGCCAGAAATTTAAAAAGGTATTCTAATATTGTATCAGGCCAATTCTGGCCACTGTAAAGCTTTTGTCTTTACGTATACAGCTACTTTACTAAGAATATGGGATAAAAGAGAGAGGAGGTTGTCGTTGTCGTCCTTTGAGTGTCTTCAGAACAAGGATCGAAGATCTTACTAACTGGAATTTTATTTACATAGGTATTTTATATAGGTTCTCTCTGGTACTTAGGAGCAGCTTTGATGTGCACAGTTAAGTTGCCTTTATCTGAAGGTGCAGGTAGAACATAACAATGTGGATCTGACCTCCTGTGAAACTTGTTTGTTTGGCTGGTTATTAGTTTTCCCTCTATGGCTACAGGTCGTTAAGAGTTCACAAGGTAATTTGAAAACATTAAGAAATCTCTTAGCAGTTTTGTTTGTACTGTTGTAAGACTTGCCATCTCACTTGGCCAAATGCAGTCATTTTTTTTTCTCTCCTCTGTCTTCATCCGGTACTGAGGAATTAAACTAGAACAGTGGCCTTCTCATTTGCCTCGTCTTTTTAGGGTTTCTTATTTTCAATCACCCATCACTGTGGGGGTTTAATTTTTTCTCTTCTGTCTGAAAGCCTGGGGTTAAAACACAGGTTCTTATCTGCATGATTTTGTTTGTGATACAGGAAGTTAATCAAAAGCAATATGGCAGTCTGTTCATGAATGGATTTGCTGTGCTTTAATCTTCAAAACTGTAATACTTTTTTCTAAGTAGAAGTAGTAAAAATACGCATCTTTTCATAAAGTGATTCCCTAGTTCTGATTTGTTGCCTTTCTCTGCAATTAAATAATGAGTAGGTCAAGCCTTTACTTGAAAGCATGGATGGCAACTTCTAGTTGGAGTAATTGAGCTTTTAGTTTTGAAAATCAATACTCTTGCCTCTGTTGAATTCAGATATTGCTGTGACAGCTGTACTTCTGCTGCAGGAACATGTTTGTTGGATACAGTTGTGTTAAGTTTAATCTTGGGGTGGTGGGATGAAAGAGGGCTGGAATTTATGCTGATGCCACACAGAAGAGTAATTCTCAGACAATGGTGTTACACCATATGGAGCCTTTTCTGGAGAACTGTAAAACAGAGCGCTGAGAATCATCTTTGAGGAAGTAGCAGTGGGTGGTCTGTAGAAGGAACTTATTATAAATGGTCTGCATAAAATGAACTTGTGGGAATTGCTTTTCTGAATTTCACTTAGAAAATAGGATGGGATTGAATTTGCTTGGTGTAACTTGGGTGCTGTTGGGATTTTTGTGCTCTCTAACATAAACAATACATGCTTTTTAAAGTGGTGTAGTATTGCTCCATTAGTACTGCCTTGTATATTTTATATCTATATGATCTTTAGGTAACACTCATTCAGTGGAAATGAGCTGTCCTTTAGAACAGGTCAGCTGGAAGCTTAATGCTGTGAAAACACTTCGAAAGCTTTTGTTGTAAAGGTACTCTTTGTCCCCTTGTTTTGTGTATTTGCCTGTCTGTAAAGAACCAGCTGAAGATAGGGTCCTTTTTACTCTAACATTTTTGAAAGAGCTTAGAGCAGGGAAGTTACTGTTAATGGATGACATTACCTAGGAATGTAGCACTTGGTTGTTTCCCTTGTCTGTACCAAATTCCTTACATTATCATTTGAAGTATAATTGATCCTTAAGCAAGAACTTAGATGTTAAATCCTCTCCTTGCATTGTGTTCTCAGTTACTACTGTAACATTGGCTTGGCCTGGGTTTTGGCTTCTGGTGTTTTCTAGACCCTTTGAATAGAACAGGGACTTTCTTGGTATAGCATAGGGAACTGTAAAGTAATTAAATCAGGTTTTGTTTTGCAAGTTGTTCAGCATAGATGTAGATAACGTAGGTAAGCGTAAAATTATTATGCAATGTTTATATATTAGACTTGGGGGGGGGCAATATAAAAATACTACCTTATCTCTATTTTTTCCATACTTTTAAGGTACTTTCATTTCAGTTTTCATCTGTATCAGACTGTTTTTATTTTTTAATTTTCTACTTCCTTTGTCACTAGAAGACCATCCATTGGTGACAGTTTTATTTTGGAAGTAGTGATGCAGAGTTTGTTTAAGTTTGTGGTGCAGTGATGTTGTTTGTGAATTCAATTTCCAGTAATGCAATGTGATTCGTTGTGTCACATGAATACATTTAAAGTCCTTCAAGTTTCTGATTGTCTTTGACACCTTTCATAAATGCTTCATTACCATTGCAGATGAAAATATTCCCTGTTGGCAGTCAGGCTACATGGCATAACTTAACATATGATTAAACTCTTCAAAACTGTTACAAACTTAACTCAGTATAAATCAAACAAATAGTCCTTTACAGCTGCATGTCATGGGTGAAGTTGTCATATTTAGTTCTTAATTTTCTCAGCACAGATAGGATTTTTGTATCTGAAGTTGGGAGTAGTGCATATGATCAGGTTGCACTGCACTGGGTATGCTCTAATGGCAAACTTGATCAGCTGCTATACTGAATTCTAGCGTTTTGTATAGTACCACTTTGGAAAGAAAAAAAAAAGGAGGTGCAAAAGTATTTTGGTATAAATATTTGTGACCTGTGAAAGATTACAGAAATACCATTTAGATAATTTAGATTATTTGCTGAGTGTACTCAGTCTGTTAATGTATTCTGGGGGGACCGGAGAAAAACAAACAGTACCCCAGACAGTGTAACCACAAAAACCTTTTTACACACTGAAAAATGTGGTGTCATGACATAAGAGAGACATTGGTATGTCATTATATTTTTCTTTCCTAAATTAGATGGTAAGCACTTTGGAAACTCAGTAGGAGCTAGGAGATTCTGCCTCTGAGAAGGGATCTGTGAGAAACCATTGCATGATAATATGCCTTTGTGTGAGGCAGTGACCCTCTAAACCTTGGGGAAAAAAAACAAAAGGCAATGCCTGAATCACGTGCGTGAATATGTTACTGTGCAGTCATTTTAATGATTTCCAACTTCACTGTAAGGAAAAGCTATGTGTAAGAGCTTTTGAACAGTTACATTTTGCTAGCCTTAGCAGAATGTGCTAGACTGCATGGTTCTGGTTTATTTTAACACACTAATTCTAGGTCCATGAGTCTGGTTGCTGCTACATAGGCAAGAGTTGTCCATGCAACAAGGTTAACAGCTAGACTAGAGTGGGATCTGACCACGGTGATTTAATATAAAGGTAACTTATGGAAAACAAGATGTAGCAGTTGATGCTTCTGTCCTAGAGCTTTTCCAGTGCCTCACAGTGTTACCTTCAAATTCAGCTCATGTGTGACTTCTGTAGTGTTTGTTGAGAATACTTAAGCATTTTTGTACTTAAGTATTGACTTCAAAATGCAATCCTGAAAAAATTCGTGGAGAAAGTCCAAATCTCTGTATGGCAAAGCATTTTTATACTGTAGAATGGGAAATTTGTAGAAAAAATGCAGCATCAGAGAAAACACCATGTCTGAGTATAAAGTATGCCTTGTGAGCATGATGTTGAAATATTTTTTGACAATGTGATTGGAAAAGATTTCAGGGTAAGCGTTAGTGCTTGTAAAAACATTCCAAATGTCTGTTGGCCATGATGATGAAATTGTCGTGGGACAAATTCCTCTCGAACAGCAAGGGTGCAAGGGTGAGGGGACTTGAATTTCCAGTTGGGCTCTAGATGAGCTTGCACCAAGTACTGAAGCCTTTGGTCCAGTTACTGCCAAATATTGTGATGCTCAGATAATATTTCAGTTTTGCTATATTTGATCATTGTCTCTTTTTTGTTTTTGTTTTTTTTTTTCAATGTTACTGGAATTATTTTGTGAAAGAGTTCAGGTTTCATGTCTTGTAGAAAAAAACGCATGTATTCCTTGCACTTTTGCCATTTCTTGTGCTCATTTTGAAGACATCAAAGTCTTGGGTTTAAGTGTTTTGCTTTGGGGTTTTCCAGAAAAAAAATATTTCCAAGAAGACTTAATCTCTGTGAAGTTCAGGATATTCTTTTAAGCTTTTTCATTATATGATAAGATATGTTGAACAGAATAGTGTAAGACAGTGTGGGTAAATCAGGTCTATAACTGCTCTTGCTTCTTTGAAATATAGAACCACTTTTCCCCTTAAAAGTACCTTTCCAATTGTTAATATCCTTATAATTACCTTTACAAGTATATTTAGAACAGCTTGTCAGTTCAGAGGAATGGGGACAATAAAGAGAAAAACCTACCAAACTTGTTGCTATCTGTAAATGTACTTTGTCTTGAGCATCTCAATTACTAACAAGTTAACAATCTACAGAAATGAAAATACTGCACTAACAAGGCATATTGTAAAAGAGATTATTATTTGTTCATAGGGAGTACTGCTGGAATTTCTTTTTCCTGCTGGAAATAATCTTTTAATGTTGCAGGGTTTTGTGATCTGTCTTCAGCATTGCAGGATCAGGGTTCATTTCAAAGGAAGAATAATGGAAATATACTTTACCTTTTTTTTTAAGCTAAATATATTTTTCTTCAGCTTAGAGCAATAAATGTAGATCTCCAGACTGATGCTGCTCTGCAAGTGGATATCTCAGATGCACTCAGTGAGAGAGATAAAGTGAAATTCACAGTCCATACAAAGGTAAAACATGGGTTTGTACATGGAACAGTTCTTAATTATATACAAAAGAGAGTTTGCTTAAACTGTTTGTTGAAACAAAGTGTAACACAATCCAGAGGAAATGAGAAAGTAGAATTATCTCATATTTATGAGACTGTGTAGCTGCGGTGCATAAGAAAAAGATGACTTAAGAGTTTAAAAGCAGTTTGGAAGAAAGTTGTTTTCATTTTTTTTGTATTGATGTGTTGTTATGCCATTCCCATGCCTATTAATTAGCCTGTTTGCAGGTAGAATCTTTAATATACATGAATATACTTCAGTATAGTTTTTTCATTTGATTAGATCTTACTATAGTTTCAGATTCTAAAAGCATATTTTGTAATTGTATTACATTCAGGGATCATTTTTAATTACTATTGTTTATGGCTTTTTTTTAGATTTGAATGTTTATTGATTGCAGAGTGACAGAATAATTGAAGTTGAATAAAATATCTGGACATCATCAATCCTATCTCGTCCCTCACTCTCACCATTAAATTAGAGTGCACAGGAGCACATTGCTCAGGATTTGTCCATTTGGGTTTCTCTTACAGAATCAAAGAATCACTTAAATTGGAAAATACCTCTAAGATTGAGTCCAACCATTAATCCAGCACTGCTGAGTCCACCATTAAACCATGTTCCTAAGTGCCATATCTACATGTTTTTTAAATACCTTCAGGGATGGTTGCTCAACCATTTCCCTTGGCAGCCCCTTCTAAAACTTGACAGCCCTTTTAGTGAAGAAATTCTTTTAATATCCAATCTAAACCTCCCCTGATGCAACTTGAGGCCATTTCCTCTTGTCCTCTCACCTATTACTTGAGAGAGGAGACCACCCCCCCACCTGGCTGCGGCCTCATATCAGATACTTGTACAGAGTGATAAGGTCAACCCCTGATTTTTCGTCAGCCAAAACACCTCCAGCTCCCTCAGCCACTCCTCATCAGATTTGTGCTCCAGAGCTGCCACCAGCTCTGTTGCCCTTCTCTGGGCATGCTCCATCACCTCAGTGTCTTTCCTGCCAGGAGGGGCCCAGAACTGGATGCAGGATTAGAGATGTGTAGGATTAGAGGCCTCACCCGTGTCCAGCACAGGGGGACAATCACTGCCCTGGTCCTGCTGGCTGCATTATTTCTGATACAAGTCAGGATGCCATTGGCCTTCTTGGCCACCTGGGCACACGCTGGATCATATCCAGCCACTGATGAGGTTCTTTTCCACTGGGCAGCTTTCCAGGTGCTCTGCCCCCAGCCTGTAGCACTGTCCGGGGTTGTGACCCAAGTGCAGACCTGGCTCCTCACCTTGTTGAACCTCCTACAGTTTGCCTCAGTCCATGGATCCAGCTGATCCAGATCCCTCTGCAGATCCTTCCTGTCCTCTGGCAGATCAACATCTCCGCCCAACTTGGTGTCATCTACAAACTGACTAAGGGGCACTTGGTCCCCTCATCCAGATCATCAATAAAGATACTAAACAGAACTCCAGGATTAAATTAATAAAGATATTAGCCATGTTGATGAGAGCAGGCACTCCACAACCTTTTATGGCAACCCATGCCAACTGATTGCTGCACTAATTAAGATGAGGTTAATTACTGTGGTATGAACTTTTGGGGACACTTTTGTTGTTCCCTCAAGGTTTTTTCATGTAGTAATGAAAAGTCTTGTTTTTTGTTGAGCTTTTCTTCCTGTGTATCTCCTTCCCCCCCATAATTCTACCTCCTTTTACCCTTCTAGAGTTCCTTACCAAATTTCAAACAAAACGAATTTTCTGTTGTCCGGCAACACGAAGAGTTTATTTGGCTTCATGATTCTTTTGTTGAGAACGAGGACTATGCTGGCTATATTGTAAGTACCGGTATTCTTTTGGTTTATATGTGCTGTTTTCTGTGGGCTGGATTAAAACTACTTGAGGCTGCTTTTAAATGTAGTGGAAACAGCAGGTGTTCATTCCTTATAAAATCAGATAAGCTTCTCTAATACTTCATTTTATGCAATTACACAAAATTAATGGTTGAAGCAAGCTTGGAAGAAAGCTACAGTAGCTGTAATACTTTCTTGCCCTTTACTCCTAAGAAGTGAGTAGTTTAATTTGTCTCCAAGAGTATTTTTATGCCACTGTGTTAAAAGTGTGGGAGAGGTTGAACTGTGTAACTTGGTGGTATTGTTTCTGCAAGCTAATGTTTAACTGAGTTACAAGTTTCATGTTTCTTTTGTTTTAGCTGAAATGGTAGACTTTTTGAGTTCTTATTATAAAGATCAGATAATTTTTCTATAAATAAGAGGAAGGAAAAACCACTTTAAATATCATGTAGAACTACAGGGAACCTTAATATGTAGTAACTTACAGTTTGAAGTTAATTTCAGGCATTCCAGGAACAGAGGTCTCAAAACAGGCACCGTATGATACTGCATATTGAAAATGGTGCTGCTTTTCATACGTTAATTGCAAATAGGAATATCTGTTATCTTGGTATGAAACTTTGGTATTGGTTTTGTGTTTGGGGGATGTTTGCTGATTCAGAGGGTAAACAGATATTTCTAATTGATTAGTGGGTAGATTATAATGAGTATAAGCTGTGATGGTCATACCATTCTTCAGCTAGTCTTTCTTAGTCAGAAAAGCTATTTGAAGTGATTAGACCTTCAGTGTGGTAATAACTAGTTTCACATGGTTGACCATCTAGATGCTGGATTTTTCTTTTTTTTCTGTAATATGTTAAAGTAATGGGCCAATATCAGTAAATTAAAATTTAAACATATTTGGTTCTGTGTTCCTTTCCTGGCACCAATTCAGGTTTAGTTTGACTCTGGTGTTTTCTCTTTCAGTGTTAATATACCATATTACAAAATTAACCTAGAGCCTTGTTGACTGGGGGCTTTGTTACTTCAACACATATCTCTTTAATGTCAGCAGTGCTGCAGGAAAGAGCTAGTGCCTGCAAACAACAGGGAATGGTTTTCTTGGTTTAAAGTTTTGGGGAGTTAGAAATGGATGGTGTGAAAACAGTTGTGGAATTCTTTTTTCTTTCTTTTTTTCTTCTTTCTTTAAACACGAAATAATCCTTACCAAATAAGCTAAACCAAAACTAATTAAAAATAATTTTTTCAAGTTTTAAGTCATTGTCATGGGAAATGAAGTATTATTTGGCTTCTGTTGTAATTAAACTGAAGCCATTAGTTAATGCTTTAGTAATCTTCAAGGATACTTGACTGAAATTGGTGTAGTAATGCAGCACAAATAACTCATGAATAAGAGAAATCCAGAAATTTTTGTAAGAGAGACTGCTTTTAAATGCAGTGGAATTTATCCAGAAATGCTGTAATGAATGATGAAAGAGAGAAACATGTATTAAAAAGCTGCAGGCAGTCTACAGTTCCTGTACTGTGAATGGGTGTTGTTTGACTGAGAAAATGAGAACTTAAAAAAAATTGGATTAAATTCCAGATTCCACCAGCACCACCCAGGCCTGACTTTGATGCCTCCAGGGAGAAACTGCAGAAACTTGGAGAAGGGGAAGGATCAATGACTAAAGAGGAATTCACCAAGATGAAACAAGAACTGGAAGCGTATGTAGACTTGATTACTACTTTATTAATTTATTTATATTCCAAAACTTTTAATGCTGTTTGCTATCCTATGTTTCTGATCTCACTGTAACGGTTCTCTGTGAAACACAGACTTGAGAATCCAGTTGTTATATAACCAAGGTTAATCTTAGTGATCATGATCAGTGCCATTAGGAAAATTGTGGAAATAATTTCATGGAAGATCTTCTGAAACAGGAAATAAATTAGCTTGTTCTTGAGCATTCTTTCATAAGAAAGAAAGTACTTAGATCCTGTTCTTCACAGAACATCTGCAAAGGGAGGAGATAGCCTCTATCTTTTTTAGTTCTGGTATTCCACATTTGATAAGTACAATTAGACTTTAGGGTAATACACTCAGTGATTGGGAGTAGGGAGTTGTGCATGTGGTTGGTACTGTAAACTTAGATGCCAACCTTCTGTTCCCCAAGAAATACGAAGATTACTAGAAAAATCCTTTTTTGACACTTTTTTAAAAATTTTTCCACAAGGAGAATATACTTCCTGAAATACTATTTTCCCATAGGATGAATTTAATTTATATTGAAATAACTGCTCTGAAGCTTCTTGTTCCGTATTGAGTTACACAGTGAAGTTTCTCCTTGCTTCGTCCATTTTCTTTATCATGCATTCACTTCTTTGATCTTTTTCCTGTCATTGGTTTCAGTTTTCAAGTGTATATTTACACTGCTTCTAGACTGCTTCTATCAAGAGCTCTGAATTGGCAAGAAAAGTACATAGAACTCTTACAACTGCTGCTTTCTCTCCGAACTTCAGCTGCTGTGAGCAAATGTCTTAAAAAGCTCTGTATTAGTGATATGTACAACATAATTTATAGCAGAGTAGATATACACTTCATATGCAGAAAACTGGAAAATAGCAGAACACTATAGATTTTTAAAGAATCTGGTTTTCCAGCGGCCCTGATCATGATTCTCTTGTGGTCTGGTTAGGGGTTGGATAACACAGAAAACTTTGGGTTTCTTCTACTGCCACCTCCATCCTCTGCATCCTCCTTTTTTGTCTTCACTGAATGACTACTACTCTCACTGAGATCAAACATCTCCCAACACTGGCCCTGCTGGTTTGCTGGTATGTAAATCTTAACCTCCTTGCACATAGTGGAAGGAAAAGCACTGATTATAATTTCACTGTTTGACCTCAGAATGGGAAAAAGAGCCCTTTCCTCATTTTTAGATGAGTTGCATCTTACTCATTGAATTTGCAAAGCACAATGAATTCTAGCAAACTTGTATTGATAAGAGTGCCTTCCTCTTAATTAAATTGCAAGTGAGTAATTGCTTTGAAGTTGAGTTGGCTGAACTGGGCAACCATGTGATTGTTATGGTTAAGTGTGGTTTTTTGTTGTACCTACCAAATGCAGCTCTTAATTTCACTTTTTGAACCACTATGAAGTGAGACATCGATGTAAGCTTTGGCTCAAAAAGGCTAGGTGCTTTAACTTGAAATAAAAGACTGTCTAAACAGCTAACAAAACTACATAAACATACAAATAAGTAAGGAGGGTGCAAATGGGCAAGGGGATGGAGATGGGGAGGAAGGAATTTGCACATCAATACACAGGGCTGAGGGACTGTAGTCTGTACCGTAGTTTCTTGAATTTTGGGGTGCTGGGGAAAGGACAATGAAATGAGGTTACACTTTCAGCAAACCAGTGTCTGTTAGCTAACCATAAAAATTAGAGTGTATTTGTTGACTCTTCATTAAAAGTCTCTCTGTAATGTGTTTGGGCTTCAAATTTCTCCCTAGTATTAACACTGCAGTATTTATTTATGTCTATATCAAACATTGGAGTGATAAACTCCAATATATCGGCTTATAATTTTGTACCCTTACTGAGGGTCTCTTAAAGCTGCTCACTAGCTTTATCTCAAACTTAATTGCTTCATATGAAGTTCTTATGTCTGTCTTATTTCTTGTTTTTAGTGAATATTTGGCAATATTCAAGAAGACAGTTGCAATGCATGAAGTGTTTTTGTGTCGCGTGGCAGCACATCCTATTTTGAGAAAGGACTTAAATTTCCATGTGTTCTTGGAATATAATCAGGATGTGAGTATTGAAAACTGAATTGCTGGCAAGAGAAATCAAGATGTGCTTTTATGGTAGGATGGAAAACTGATTAAGAGGGAATTACCTCCTGGAGCAAATTACATCAATTCCTTCATGCCAGACATATTTGTATCGTAAAAGTTAAAAAATTGTTTAGTCTGTAGGAGTTCATTTTCTGCCACCTGGGGAACCAAATGCACTATATGCTTTAACCTCAGCATCAAAAATATTACTGGAAATCCAGTATATTTTGGATTAAAAAGATGAGCTTTTGGTGGTGATTTCACTTGACAGTATGCTTTTCCATTCTTTGAATTATTTTTATTTGCTGCAGGGAAGAATGATGCAACAAAATGGAACACTAATTTTTTAGGATTTGGAACTTTGGTGTAAATTCTGTTGCTAACAAAACTAGAGAGAATTTCTGATGAAATATTCTGATAATGTTAATGATGTGAGTGAAAACGTGGTTAATTTTTTTCTGAGTATTGGACTAGTGGGGCTGTCCACATGTAACATACTGAATTGAGGTAACGGAGAGTACTTTTGGATTCATAACTCTTTGATGTTGGAGTCTGTTTGCTCCTATTCTGTCACGAGGTTCAGTTACTTTTTAAAATTTCAGGAATCAACATTGAGTGGAAGAAGTTATTACACAGACTGGCTCAACTGCATACATACTTAATTCAAAATATGTTCCTCTGTTGCTTGATGTAGAAATGCTTGCAGGTTCAGGCACTCAGTTTACTTACACTGGGAGAAGTTAGATGGACAGGAAGAGTGTGAGGAGGCTTAAACCAGCATGATCCTCTGGATGTCAAAGATCTGACATTCACCAGAGAGTGAAACATGGCTGTATTAACTCAACTATTGTTACATCAACTCAGCTATACTGTGCATGATAAATACTGTGTTATTGGTAACTGAAATGTACACTCTGTACATTTGGTACTATCTGCAGGTACTAGAATGGTGCTGATCTTTTTTTTTTTCCTTTTTTTTTTTTCCCTAGAATGGTATTTTAGGAGATAAACAATCTAGTAAATGAGGTAGTCTTCATTCTGTATGCAAGGTACCCTGTCCCCATTAGTGCATAGTATAAAAATAAACAGAGAACAGAAAACTGTTTTAAGTATAGCGAGTAGGGGTATGTAGTTCTATTTAATTTTTTTTAAAGCTTGTCTTGCCTCCAGAAAATGAATTAACATGATAAATTAATTTGTTTTTCAGTTGAGTGTTCGTGGGAAAAATAAGAAAGAGAAACTTGAAGACTTCTTCAAAAATATGGTTAAATCAGCAGATGGTGTCATTGTTTCAGGAGTAAAGGTGATTACTGCTTCACATAGCAAGATTTAAAATGTATTAACATTTGTCACCTTTTTTAATGAAGCAGAATTTTACATAGGTACAAAAATGGGATTTTTATAGTGATATCTAACTTAAGAATTAGTGGCAGACCATGGGTGAGAGCTTGTGGCCTGGATGCAAAATAACTGAGAGCTTTCTTGTGGCCTTTCAGTACTCTATGAAATTAAGTATCTTTTTATATACATAGATAATTGATGGTCTGGTTGGTGTTTTTTTTGTTCAGGCCTGCCATTTTATATATTGGAAAGGAGAACTAGGTCTGACAACTGCTTCTGTTCAGAAGTTCCTCATGGAATGAATTTTCCCAGTCTTGTAGAATCTGTCTGCTGTTTCAAGGAGCAGCAGTAGAGGTTATATAATTTTTCCCAGTAGATGTAAGAATGTAACTGAGGGGAAGAAAAAAGTAATGAAAATTCAATTTAATTTTTACTTTTCCAAAAGTTACAAGATCACTTTTACAGCAAGCAGAAATTCTGCAGAGGATGATTTTTAATCTCCTTTCTTTCTAGTGGTAACCTTCCATTTGGTAGCAATTTTTACAAGAGTTAAAAGTTTCTAGGTTTAAAATCTTTTTTTTTTTTTGAAACTGTTGGAAAGTGGATATAACCATGGATTAATTATGACTTGGAGAAAAATATGAAGTCCAAATAACTTCCAATTTGATAATATTGTTCAAAGCCCATGTTGTAGGCTATTCGATGGTATTGAGCGTCTGTGTTATTTTAGAGGGTTTTTAAAAATAAGTATAAACCAGTTATCTCAAATTATATTACAGACAATATTTAGATTTGCCTTTGTTTACCAAATTGAAAGAAGTCTGTCACTAAGATCAATGTTCTGAGCTAGGAGTTTAAATCATCTTGTCTGAGACCACAGCCTCTGTGCTGCTGGGTGACTTTCATCCCTCCCTCCCTTTTTCTAAATAGATTACATGTATTCTATTTTTCTGTCACCCTTGGTGATCCTTTGCTATTTCTTCATGTTTAATTATATAGACCTTTAGGGTACTTGTTGCAAATTCTTAATAAAACTCAAGGTCATGATATAGGTGGAGAAGAAATCAGTTAATATAAATGGTGTTTTGGAGAATAAAAACAGATGCATTTCCTGTCACAGCAGCAGTGAAATGTGCAACTTTACTGTGGAATTGCTCTGTAGAGAGTGGGTGAAATCCTGTTTTATTAATTGTTCCCTTTTTTGGTAGGATGTGGATGACTTCTTTGAACATGAGAGAACATTCCTTGTAGAATATCACAACCGAGTCAAAGATGCTTCTGCCAAATCTGATAAAATGACAAGATCACATAAAAGTGAGTTTTTTTCAGGGTGCAAATAGTACTGGTTAAAGTGTACAGAAGTTGTTAGTGAGGAGAAGTAATTTTTAGTTTACTTTTTGCATGTGCAAAGTGAATTCATTTCTCCAAGCCTTTGGAGTCTAAAGAAGTTCAATCTGACTTTCTAAGTTTAGACTTTGCTGCAGTAAACTAGATGGGAGTAAGAACAGCCTGGTGCAACACTGAGGATATGTTTATTCTTCATGCTGTCTGCTTGAAAAGAAATACACTTTAAGTATTAATATTTTTTTGAAGTCTGACTTAGTCATTTAGGTGTAGAGGTGGGTAATATGGCAGTACAGGTGATTTTGCTCCTAGTGCAGAGGGCAATATCTTGGCAAACTGGGCATGGCATTACCTTGCTAACAAAGTTACCTTTGTTCATAGCAAACTCCTGTTTGGGCCATTGGTTCTAGACTGGGTTTCCATTTTTTAGCCATTTGGAATGGAGACAGCAATGCATACATTGAGTAGCCTGGTTTGCAGGATCCCTTTTCTTACTGAGGCAAGATTTACCACTTGCCTATTGATTTATCTTTGTGAGCTGAGTGCTAGCCATTGTGATTTCTGAAAGCTCTAGATGGTCTTCTCAAGTGCAGTTCATTTATTTGAGAAAATGAAAAATCTTTGGGTTAGGACTATTGTGTTTGATTTAGGATTACTGTGTTTTGAGAAGCTCAGAAGAAATTGACCTGTGTTGCCCTTGATTTTAAGTTCTTCTGCCTAGATAAATCAAAATTGATCTTCCAGATTCTGACTGTTCCTTGAAGTTGGGGTCTGATTTACAGATACTGTCTACAGTAGCATAGTTCATACAAAACCAGGTTACAAACCTTTCATGAATCTCCATTGATAAGATGTCTAAAATGGATATTGGATAAGATGTTAAACCAAGAATTTACTGAGTTCTTCAGATGCTTCTCTTGCTGTTGCATGAACACTGAGTCTTTTGTAGTTTTAGTATCTATGCTAGAAGATGGAAACAGTCAGTTATGGCTCAGTGAGCTAAGGGCCCTGCTTATGCATTCAGTTCCCCCCTGAAGTGGTTTCTAGTGGTTTTGGTTGCTTTCTTAAAATGAGAACTGAACTTCATTCATGGTAATGAAGTGCCAAGATTTATTTACGGAGTAGGAAAGTCTTTAACATTGGTTGTAGAAGTGGGAAAATCCTTTGAAATTAGGTTGTAGAGGATCTGATAGGAAAGGATTGATCAAACTCATGACAAAGCTTCATTGGTTTCCAGGCTCAAATCACGTACAGTGTTTACTGACAACTTCTGCCAAACTGTGATAAATGGCACCTTTTGAAATTCTGGCTAGAGGAGTAGAGCAATGATTTGGGAAACCTGTTTTGGACATGGGCAATCTCTAGTTTATGGATAACATTATCAACAGAGAGCTGCAGGTCTTGCAGAGACACCAACTTGCTATTTCCAGCAGAAAATCAATTTTTATGTTGAAATTGGAGGAATAGAATGGGAGATTAATTGCTTCCTAAAACCATTCTTCACTGTAACCAGCTGCATTGATATGTATGGATTAATGAATTATTAGGAACTATTATAATGAACTAAGGAAGCTGACCTACTCAATCTGTTGTGTTATTAGGAAAAATTAATTCTGCTTAAAGGCATATAAACTTCAGAAATAACAAACAAATGTATTTTCCTGTTCATTGCTTGGATCTGTTAGTTTTCCTTGTCCATTGAGTTAATACTTAAAGCTTTTTAAAAAGGCTCTGTGGGCAAAGATTTATTTTTTATGTTTTTTATATTGTATAGCAATACCTCACTAGTGAAATTATGCAGCCTTCTTACAAATATTGCTTCTAATTTATTGTTTAAAGTGATTTAACATTAATGCTACTGTAACCAGTGACTGCTTGTTGAAGAGATAAGGGTTTTCTAAAAATAGGGATGTGCTAGAAAATGTGCTGTGTATATAGGTGTATATAGTGCTGTATTGTTTGTAGTTTGGAGTTTGTAGTCAATTAACTGCTCTCAAGCACACAGACTTTGTTACTGTTAAACTGTGTTTTTTTTTTCCCCAAATAGTTTTAAAATAAAATTTAAATTCAGACTTTAACCATTAAGTCTTCCACCAAAATAAAAAAAAAAAAAAATTGCACAATTAATTCACCTAGTAGGTTGTAATTGCATAAAATACTCCTAGGTAAATTACAGGCTTTGCAATTGGGTGAAAGCACTGTTTTTACTGTGTCAAGTTATCCTTCCTATTAAGTGATGGGATCGCAATTTTATTTCTACTTTTGTGTTAAAGCATGTCCTTTTAGAAAAATACCTATTTTTGAAGAAAGGAATTTCAAAATTTTCAGAAAGAAGAGGAATGAGGTAGTAAAACAAGTGCTTGTTTGTTTTTCTAGATGTGGCGGATGACTATAATAGAATTGGTTCTTCATTATATGCATTAGGAACGCAGGACTCCACAGATATATGCAAGTAAGATATTGTTAATAACCTACGGGGTCATTTGCTGTGTAGCAGTCTTAATGGTGGCTTGCTGAGATTCATAGCTCTTGTTAGGAGAAGACCAGAATTTATTACAGCTGTATCATATTAAAACATTTTCTTCTCTAGTATTTAATTTCTTTAGCAGGCTGCATTTAACAGTTTTGTTTTAGTATTCGTCTGTGAAAAAATGCTAATTTCTAAATTGTGTAGAAAATTGCACAGTTGAGATGGAAAAGTCCTTATCAAATGAGGAAAAAACCCACAATTCTTTCACCATTAAAAAAAAATGTTTCAAATGCTTTGATATATGCAGCAAGCACAGGTCTCAGTCTGAGTATATGGAATTTTCTGAGTGTACCAACATCCTGAAAAATAGTTCTGCTGTTCTGGGAAGTTTATTGCCCTTAGGAAAACAAAGGAATCTACAGAGATCCCCAGAACTTTAAAGGGTGTCTGTATGTACAGATGTTTGTCCTTTAATCTTTCAGTGATTTGCTTGAAGTCTGGTGTATCTGACAATAAAACTTAGTTAACTAGCTTAAAGATGTCAGTGCTTGTCAACATACACAGTTAGTGTGATGTTGGTGTCAGTGTGATGACAGGTAGGACATGAAAGTTAACTTTCTAATATACCTGAATTACAGTGATACACTTCCAGATGTGGTGATAGCTTATATACCAGATACTTTGATGATAGTATTGATATTTGTTGTAGTCCATTAGGGTGTGTCAGAAATCACATCTGTCTTCTGTCAAAATAGTATCATTTGACTGTAATTCAGTCTGCTGTAAGACTGAAGCCGTGTATTGTCTCCTGCAGTGGAGATGTTGCCACACTGTTGCTCAGCATCCCTGAATTCCAAGTAGGACATATGTTCACTGTGTGAAGAAAAGTACATTCAAATTTGTGTAAAGGACACTTGATAATAGTGTAAGACCAGTGACCATGGTGCTGGTGTTAGGGGTTTAATTCACAGAAGCATAAAGACTCCTTGAGGAGCTGAGCAATTTTTCTTTACTTAAAAATATCCATCTGTTATGCTTTGTTTGTCCCTTGCCTTACTTACATTGCCCAGTTCCCACATGTTTGAAGTTTGAAACTAGTATGTTCTCTGAGTCCTGTGAATTATAACTGTAAGCAATGCCTTTGCAATCTTTATTGCCAGGCACAGACTGTAGTGTGAGTAGAAAGTAATGAGACTGTTCAAAACAATGTTGTAATATGAGCTGTTTCCTTTGCACAGGTTTTTTCTGAAGGTGTCAGAGTTATTTGACAAAACAAGGGTATGTACTGCGAAAGGGACATCATGTGTCAACAAGGCATTAATGTGTGGATTAATATGGGTGCTTCTAGATGGAGCATTTAAGCAATGTGTAGTATGGAAGGAGAAAGTGTAAGGTTTCAGTTGTGTTTTGTAAAATGAGCCTGAGGACTCCTCAGTCTACCAAACATTTCTAGGCAGTCTGCTGTAGTACCCTTCTGTTCCTCTAAAATGCATTGAGGTCCTGCATACTTGTTACTGGGAATCACAGAACTTACTATGGATAAAAGAAATGAAGAAATTGAATCCTTAATCCAAAAAAAATGGTGGTAATGCTGATTTTTTTCTGGAGCCAAGATCTGTTTCTGCAATTATTTGACTCAAAAGTAATGTTGCTTATGCTTGCAACCAGCATAAGCTCTTTTGCCCTACTTACTTGGCTTGGTAGAGAGAAGATGTATGCCATGTATCAGGAAAACTTCCAAATGAAAAATGTGTGCGTCTCCTAAATTGACAATTGTATCTGCATAAACACATACTTTAAAGAAAATTGACAGAATTACTTGTTTTGACTCAAAATGTTACATTTCAGAAATTATCTTTTTTAAATTGGGGTTTAAAAATGCACTTGCAGATTCTGTTTCTAATCTGTTTCAAATGCAAGCAAATTAGTTTATTGGTTTTTAGACCATTTAGCACATGCAGTTACACAATTAGTCTGCAAAGGTGCCTTAAAAATTTGGTTTTCCTTTGATTTCAACAGCAACATAAAACTGCTTGTGCAACTCTTAATATATGTTTGTTTCTCTACATTTTTTCTAGCATATGATAAATATAATTGCTATTGGGGAAAAAAAGCAGTTTTTAATATAGAAAGCCAGTTGTCAAGTATTGCAGATTAGCTTATTCCTTATACTTTAATACAAAATCCTAATGCTTCTCATTTTGCATCTTGAAGTATCCTGTCATTAATGCCTGATCTTAGTTTTTGAAAAAGACCATCTGTTGTGTACTGCATATTTTACATTTAATTTGTATCATACAAAGGAATACTCAAAGTCTGGATGTTTTTAAGCTGATCCTTTTGCTTACTGTTTTTTTGTTTTATGACGGTGTTTTGTTTTGTTTTTCCAGAAAATAGAGGCTCGAGTATCTGCTGATGAAGATCTTAAGCTTTCTGATCTTCTGAAATATTACCTTAGGGAATCTCAAGCTGCTAAGGTGAATCTATGGTTTTTGTTCAGTGAAATTGTGTTTTTTTAACAAAAAAAAAAAAAAAAGAGAGAGAAAGTGATATGGGCTCATCAACTCACAATATATATAGATTAAAATGCTGCCTCCTCTAGCCTGCATTTTTTCCCTTAGCTGTAAAACCTGTTTCTGTTAAATATAAGGAGTAACAAAGTAGTTGCTGTTGTGGGACTGACTGTGTGGAACTGAGTAAGCCACTTGTCGAGGCCAAATCATTCAGTAACGAGAAACACTGGAAGGGCTGTTCTTGAGTTTGCAGCATGTTTGGTGTTTGTAATTTCAAGCTATTTTGCTTTTTTTTTGAATATTAAAATTGGATATTCCATATAATCGACGAGTGCTGATACAAAAACACATGGGCTGAATTTGATATTCTGTGCTTACATAAAATTTCATTCTTACTATTGTTTGATGTGACATGGTTAAATAACATCAGAGAATGAGCAAGCATTTGACAGTAAATGTCTGTAGTTAGAAGATCACAAACGGTTGCACAAAAAACGTTACTGCTGCTTCTTGGTCTCTGTGTGTATTTCAGATACATAATCTGAATGTGGTTTGTTTCTAATCTAAGAAGCTGTGAAATTTCCCATGGTTTGCCTTCTTTGGCTTTTTGGAGTTTGATCCAAGCCATCTGTTGCTAGCCTCTGTCAGACAAGATGGAGACCAGACAGTATTGTGTTGTGGATCTGATCTAGTATGGACATTCCTGTCACTTGGAGGATGAAGTAAAGTGAATGGAAATAATTTACTAAGAACTGAAATACAGCAAAAAGGACTAAAATTAATTTGATTTGTTAAATTACTTGGAATATTATAAAATCCTTGGGTAGATTCTTATAAACTCCACACAACCTTTGTTTTTTTAATAGGATCTCCTATATAGAAGATCTAGGTCACTAGTGGATTATGAAAATGCTAATAAGGCATTGGATAAAGCAAGAGCAAAAAATAAAGATGTGCTGCAAGCTGAAACTACTCAGCAAATATGCTGTCAGAAATTTGAGAAAATTTCTGAATCAGCAAAACAAGGTATTTGGGTGGTCCTTGATCTATGTTACTTCTTGAAAATTAACATTTTAGTATGTTATTAATGAGAATCAATGTAATTAATAAGAATAGATTTTTGTACTGTTTCCTAAGCAGGAATATTATATTTTAATTATTATTTATTTATTTTAGAAAGTTCAAATTCTATTTTTCTTTGGCTTCTCATAGCTCTGATAGGTAGAGCAAAGTCTAGGTGCAAATTACTTGTTTGCACAAAAAAGCTTTTTTTCCACAAACATAGGCTAGGATATGAAATGATAACTGTTAGCAGTAATAGCAAACAAATATTTTAGTGTTGTTAAAATTCCCCTTTTGGTTTTAGGCTTTCTTCTGTGAAGGCACCAGTCTGTCATAGATCCAATACTACATTAGAGAAGGGAGAAATAATGAAATGAGATTTCACTGAATTACAGAGTTAGTAGAGAAAAGGAACCTTATTTACATGTTACTTCTCTCCTGGAAGCTTACTGTCGTTTTTAGGTTAAACTTCAGTGAGTTAGTAGGTATCTGAGTCATCACTTGTGGCAGATCTGTTCAAGGTTTGAACACCATGCTCTCCTGTTTTTATCATTGAAGAGTTGTTTGAGCCTGTAAATCTGGTTAATGATTCCTGTAAATGACACAATGGAGAATGAGTGATCCTGTTAGCCACAGCAGTATATGCAGAAGGCATACTGTTGTTCACCCTGGTTTTAGCTTAGTATATTCCTTGAAGACTTCCAAGTATCAGGCTTGAAAGAACAGTGTAGATGGAATAAGAGAAATAAATGTTAAAAGCATCCACTTGGCAGTCTTTTTTCAAAACAGCTTTGTGTCTGCAAAGGGTTACCTAGAGGTGAGGAACTGCAGTGGTGGTTTGCTTTCTTCCAACTGAGCTGCAGTATTTTTGAGCCCAGAATGTGCTGAGATTAAACATGAGGTTTTTCCTTTTTCCTTCTCTCACCCTTTACCTCTTCCATCCTGAATGAATGTCTGTTAATAGCTGAAATCACTAGCAGGGATACTGTTAATTGAGTCCATTTTTATTTTCTATAGAACTGATAGACTTTAAGACAAGAAGAGTTGCAGCATTCAGAAAAAATCTGGTGGAACTAGCAGAACTGGAATTAAAGCATGCTAAGGTAACTGTGATCCTCTTTGGCCTATATTTCAAGTGATTGTGAATATTATATGCTTGATTAACCAAAATAGCTACAGTTGTTGTATGATATACACTTCACGTTCAGGAAGGTGAATTTTAAGTTAAGTATTGTCCAGAAATACTAATTTTTTTTTTTTAATAAAGAGAAAATGAAGTATAGGTGAAGTGTCTCTGAGAGATTGGTATGCTTGAGGTGCCTTTGGAAAACTCATATCCTGGAAGACAATTTTGCCTTCAGTTTTATGTTTATTTGGCTGTTTGATATTTACAACTGCAGAATTTGAGAACTTACATTTTTAAAACTTCATCTCTCCATTTCATTATGAGATAGGAAGTGGTTTCTCCTGTTAGCCAGATTTTGGGACTTGATGTGTCGGATATTAAGCATGAGATCACACTGGCCTCTCTGGTATGATGAGTATGCTTTTTGACTTTAAAACCTTTTTGGCTTTAAACCATTAACAAAAGAGGCATGTTGCAGATAGCCTTTTCAGGAAAATAAATTTTTGTGGGAAAAGAACTTCAGGAGCCCTGTACTGTCCTTAAATTTCACAATGTATTTGATTTCATGCATGACTACGAGAATCTCTTATTTGAACAGTCTTACACCTGGAGGCAGCTTTCTTTTAAAAATCAGTTCTTTAGCATTTCTCTTCAAATCTGAAACTGCATTGGTTTGGAATTATCTCAGAATATATCTGTTGAAAGGACTGTTAAGAGGTGTATTGCTGCTTTACTTTCTTTTCAGTAGTGTTGATGGTGTCATTCTTCCTTCTGCTAAACCCATTGCTTGTAAAACCCATGTGCAGTAATAGGGCTGTTTGGGAAACTTTTTTTTTAAAGATCTTTGTAGGTGTAAGTTCAGCTTAATGAGATATTTATGTATTGCTGGTAAAGCAATCAGTAATGTATGGAACACATGACTCTTTTTTCAGATGAACAGTCTTTACTTTAAATAGTCCTAACAATCTCACTTGAACAGTTTTTATTGATTTGCCATATTGTGCTTTAGTAAGGGAATGCTTCTGTCTCGCTTCAATTGTTGACTCTTCATCATCTCTTGTAACTGACTCTGCTGAAGTCTCCACATGCCTTGAAGTGGAATGCTTAGACAATGTCTCTGTCTTCTATTAAAGAATCACTTCTTTTAACTATGCAAGTCACAATGTTGGAATAATATTCTCTTTAATTTTGACAGCTAATAACTGCAGAATGCAGAGAGAATATGCTTAAATTCTGCAGCTTTCAACTTGATATGTTTCCTGTGTCCTCAGTACCTGGAAGTGCTTGAAGATTTTTAGCTTTAGTTTGTTGCCACAGCTTGTGTTTAACACTAATTTCTTTCAATAGTCTGTCTGTGACTTATCTTGTCTTAGTAAATTTAATAAGGAGTCCATGAAGCTGTAAAAAGCTTTAAATTGTAGTTCTGCTTTTGAAGATGAATTTTTTTGCTGACCCTTTTCACCTACTTCATCATGGAGCACAACATTCACCAGACAGTTTTGAATCTTTAAAGCTTTACAATAATAGAAGGTCATTTTGACTAAGAATGATAAATCTTGAAACATTAACAAATAATGTAGCCTCTTGAAAGAAAGATGTTTTTGTTTCTCACTAGGTTCGAAAAATCTCTTTTTCAATGCCACTGTTTCATATTTAAAAACAAGCTAAGCTGCTATAGATGGAGTTGGTTGCTGTGTTTTTCTTTCTGTGAATTCTGGGTTTGAGTATTACAAAATTTACAAGTACAGTAGGTTGTATTTTCAGCATTATATAATGGGGAATGTTCTTATGAATGCAGTAACCAAGGTATTTGAAGAGAGTCTTATGGATAGGTTTTTATTAATCTATACGGAGTATTGAAGGATGAAATGGTTTGGTGGACACTTTCTAGGTTAGTTCCATAAAAGGAAAAAATAAGATATTAAAAGACTTATTTGTTGGGGATTTTTTTTTAATGTAGTATTGTGCCCTGATGCGGGAAGAGCAGTGCTAGAGGAATATGACTGAAATGAAAGTCATGAACAATGCTTCCATTTCAAGGAGTAAGTAGCCCTGGTTTTGACTGAGCTAAGCTGGGCTGTTTCTAGACGCCTAATTCCTCCTGAAGACTGATGGAAGCATAAAAGAAAGCTATGTTTTCATGTAGGCAGTCAATGATGTCAGATCAAAAGCCCCCTGCTTCTAGGTTCTTGGCAAAATACTTTGCCTAATGCCGGCAGTCTCTGTGCTTTTGCACTTACTGGAGGCAGGCATGTGAAGTTTTAAGTAGCAACAAAATGGCAATTGCTTGGTCAATCGAGTGTGGAGCACTGTACTGACAAACTTTGCAACATGACCTATATTACCTAAGTGTATGTGTTTGCTTCCAGGAAAAATGCTAATAGGGAGGAGGTCTGGGGACAATGGATACCCACTGCTAGAATTTTGCTAGAAGTCTTCAATTATGGGTTTTCTTTTTCAGTAGTGAGTGCCTCCAGACTAGATGCCATGTAGATGCATCTGTTTCTGAATCAGTCTAGCCATGTGTCTTCTGGACTTGGAGCTGCCTCACGCAAAAAACAGAGGTGAAATATGATGTAGCTGTGGGTGCTGAACGCACCTGAGAGGCTCTTTTGGAGGAATTCAGACACAATGAAGGCTGCTGCTTGACTTCCAGTTTAAAGTTACTTGCTCTGTGCGGAAAGAAAAGCACAAATCCCAAAACACAGAGGTTGCTGCACAGAAGAAGTCAGAGTGACCAAAGAATTGAGAGAAGGTTCTGAGGCACAGCTTGCATTTTGCGAGCTATACTTGCCTGTATCTCTAGAAGACTGGAGGGCCATAGGGAAATAAACTCAGTAAATCAGGGACACTGTACATACAAATTCTAAGTAAACCCCCTCTGCCCAGTTATGTTCATACTACTTCCCTGTAACTTACTTCTTGGAATTATTTTTAATATCCTCTTATTTTGAATTGCAACTCAAGAATTTTGAAAAAGCTAATAATCAGACTGTGGGTTGGGTTTGCTTTAAGTTGATGAAAGGGCAGACTGCTGCCAGGAAGGATGATGATGCATGGCTCTTCCCTTATATTGGCACAATTGTGTGTGCAGCTGCATAGTAAGAAGGTGCTGAAAGTTGCTCTGGGTTTTCCTAAGCTTTACTTGGTCTTGTTTTCCCTTGTATCAAAACACACGGTTTATCTGGGAGGGTTGGCAATAAAAGAGAGTTGTCTTCTTAGCAGCAGCATGTACCCTAGTTTTATTTACAATAGCTGCCAAACTAAAGCTTTAGATTATCGTTGGTCAGTGACCTACTCAAAGCATACTGATGTTTCTTTTTCTCTGGCCATTCTGGATGATTCTCACCCTAGGTGGTGCTTAGCTTCTGTTTGGCTAGTTGTGTGTTTCTTCATGACTTAATGCAGCTGTAGCTAATGTAAGGCCTGAGTAAGTGTTTGGCCGTTTTGGTGCAAAATCTGCATTTGGTGTATTGTTCAATATGGTTGGATTTTGAGGAATTCCTGTGTTGGACTTCATGTTCAGGAAGGGAGGTTTGACAGCTGGTGAAACTCCTACAGTTACAATCATATAGCATTCATAGCCTTGGCTTTGCATTTGGAGTCTTTTGACATTGAATTGCAACTGAGTAAGACAGCCCCTTCCTTCATGTAAATAAACAGAAACATATATTTTCCACAAATACTAACATATACACTCTTGCCTCTCTGGGTTTTTTGGAAAAAGAATTTCTTCTGTACTAGCAACAGATGTCTGTTTGGAACTGATAGAAGAAGGAAGTAAGCAAAATGCAGTGCTAAGGGATTTGCTGAAATGTTTTGTCAGTAATTCTTTCTTTCCTGAAAAGGATGTTTCTGTCACTGTAGTTCTGCCAATAATTTTAATATTACAGCTTAGGAGTGTGAGTTGGCAAGAAACACTTTTCTGAATCTGAATGTATTGGACTTTCTCAAGCTGTGGTGATGTAAGTCAAGTATGTCAGATACTGCAGCCATAAGGAGTAATGGCTCACAGTTTCTATTGTCCTTGATTTATTATAATTTAAATAAGGTTCACAGATAAGGTTCTTGTGAACTTTGTAAATTTGATTAATGAAAATGAATTATGTGCCTATTTTGAAAATTTGAGTAGACTGGCTGGCTTACTCTGGAAACAACTGTGGTGTAAAGGATGTTGTAATGGTTTAACCCCAGCTGGCAGCTAAATCTCAGAAAAGTGAGAAAACTGATGGGTTGAGTTAAAGACAGTTTAACAGGGAAAGCAAAAGCCGTGCACACAAGCAAAGATAAGCAAGGGCTTTATTCACTGCTTCCCATGGGCAGGCAGATGTTCATCCATCTCTAGGAGAGCAGGGCCCCATTATGTGTGACTTGAGAAGACAACAGTCTGAATGTCCTCCTCTTCCTTCTTATTTCCCCCACCTGATATACTGAGCATGATGTCATATGGTCTGGAATATCCCTTTGGTCACTTGGGGTCAGCTGTCCTAGCTGTGTCCCCTCCCATCTCCTGTGCACCTCCAGCCACTTCTACAGCGTGCCAGTATAAGCAGGAAAGGCAGAGTAAGAGCTGCTTGGCAACGATGATGTCATCTCTATGTTATCAAAATAATTTTCAGCACAAATCCAAAATATATCCCCATATTAGCCACTGAGCAGAAAATTAATTCTACCCCAGCCAAAACCAGCACAGATGTTCTGGTAACTTTTTTTTTTTTTAGAGTGCTACATAATGGTCTGTAAATTACAAACACACTTCATGCTTCTGTAATAAGATGGCCCAAAGATTATTGTCACACTTTAGTTACACTTTAATGCAGTCCATAAAGGTACTTCAGACTGAATTCTGTTTGAAGACTGAAGACTTCAGACTGAAGTATTCCTTTCAATTCATTAGATCATTGCAGTCAAGAATCAGCTTTTCAGTAGCAGAGACCTTAAATTTATGAATCCTGTACCCCACAAAGATGGACCACCAAGTCCTCATGTGTCTTGCTTATATAGAACTTCTTTATGTCACCGAATTACAACCTTCTGAAAAATAGCTTGTGATTGTCCTCTGCCAGTATAGACATAAAGAAACAAAAAAGCTGTTGAAGCTGTAACTGATATTGCTGCCTTCTAGATAAGACTGAGAAGGATTTAGTAGGCATAACTGGGAATCTGCTTTCAAGCCTTTAAATCAGTTAATTGCTTAATCTGGATTATAAAAATGTGAAGGGGGCATAGAATTATGATTTTAGCTTTTGGGGCTGAGGGATGAATGTCCTGCTTATCTATCAAAAGTTATTGGAGCGCTTTTAACTGAAGGAATATTTTCAAATCCTTAAGGACTTCTGTGGACTGTTTATGAAAGGCATGGAAATCACAGATACTTACATGCTTCTGTGTGTCTGAATTTTTTTATATGTTTCTTTTTTGATCCAAAAATTTTTTTAGAAGTCAGCAGTTTCTTCCATGTTCATAACTGGGCATTCAGACTGCTTTGTTCCTGCATTTTATCTGAACCTGATAGGAATTACTCTTAACACTGTCAATAGCCTGGCATTTTTTTCTTACACAGAGATTTCAGATTTGGGAACAAATGTAGTACAAGTATTTCATAGTGAATAGCTAGTAGTTTAAAGTGATGTAAGCATACGTGAATGAACATACGAATACTGAGTTACTGAGTTGTTTTAGTGGGTTTTTTTTCCTGCAAAATAAATTCTCGCTTATCAATTACATTTGCTTTATTCACAACAGTATCAGTTCTCTAAATTCATTCAGATACCTGAAAACCAGTCTGTGTATTTTTATGGTAGAGCCAGAATGCTTTAAATAAGATTAAAAACTGTGTTTGGAAAGGCGGCCAGAGCTTGGCTTAGAGTTAAGATGAGTTAATGTTCTGATAATCACTTCTGTAGCTCCAGCTGGAATGTCTAAGTCACCTGGCTAAGCATGTAAATCAGTCTGCTGTCTTTCTAACGGGGCCTCCTCCTTGAACAAAGCTGTCAAATGGCTGCTATGAGGGAGGAGATCCCGAGTGCTATGAATTGTTTAATATTTGCTGATGAATACAGTATTCACAGTATTCAGTAACACACGAATACTTAGACTTAGGGGATCTCATTCTAGAGACAGAGCAATGGCCCTGCTATATAAAATATTTTAAACTTTGCAACTGTGAATTTCATTGCTGAGACTGCTCTGCAGTGAATAATTTTTGTGGCCAGATTAGACCTTTAGGAAGAAACATGAAAGGGTATTAAGTGCTTATTTTTGTATCTCAGATTGGCTCTCTATTTCCATGACACTATATTCCTACATTAAAAAAACTTTTAATACAAAAGTTATTACACATATTTTTCCATAAGTTTAAAACCTGTCTATTCTTCTTTAGTTGTATCATTGCTATTTAAAAAACATTGTTCTGTCACAGGCTTAAAAGAAGGAAGACAAATGTGGTGATATTTTTCTTTATTTTTACAGGGTAACTTACAGCTTCTGCAGAGCTGCCTGGCAGTGTTAAATGGTGACACATAAGCTACGTTCCGTCCTCCCACTAACAAGGGCTGCCCTCCTCTGGATTTTGTTTTCATGACTTTAAATAGGCATTTACAATTCCCTGGAGAAAACATTTGACAAAGTGCACATAAGCAAGCTTCTTCTTTCAAAAGAATTAAACATGTGAAAGTAGCTCCAGACTATATGAACAGCATACTTGTTATACATACATATTCATGTTTATTTAATCATTATATGCTTTCATTGTTCAGAAACCAAATGCTCGGGTTTTGTGAAAATAGCCAATATAATAATGTTCATGTTATGAATACTATGATACAGCTGCAATCTTATTTACCTTTGTAAGTAATTTCTGAAGATCACCATTTGAAGCACATTGTTCAAATGGTCTAAATATTACCATTAGATATTTGAATATTGTTACTATAATGGCATTGTATACACTGTCTTAGTTTTTTTTTCCATGTACTTATATCAAAAAACTTATCTTTTTTTCAATTGTGAACATTTCCTAGAAATTTTGGAGAACTTTGTGTAACCTTTATAACTATGATTTAAAAAGAAAAGCAGATGCATTAGTATGTTTGCCTTAACTTGTAGACTAATCCAATTATTGTAAAATAAACCATGAAATCAGTGATTTTTCTAAAATGATGCAGACACTGTATCATCTATAAGCTTAGTATTTTCTAGTAAATTAGATTAATTTGGTTTTTTTTTTTTCCTCTATTCATTGTGTAAAAACCATTGACTAAATATTGGATTGGTCTGACACTATTCGCCCAGTACTTTTCACTTGCATTCTCAGGTTTTATCTGTTTGTCTGTGACTTTCCTATCCAGTGTACTTAAATTGTTTTGAGCTTGGTGGCTGACTCTGCAATTTCTTTGGCAGAAGTACATTTGAGAGAGCTTCCTGGGTTTCTTTTGAGAAAGGGGAAATAAAGCCCTGGAAGAGAGTTCAGAAGGTGCATAAAGTATCAGTGAAAAGTAATACTGCCCCACTGTCATACAGATAAAATATTTTGCTTCAGGAAAAAAGTGAAGGTATCCCCTATAAAAGAGTGTGTTAAGAGGATCTCATTCTGCTAACTGGACTTAAGACTTAGAGCTATGAATCCAGTATTGTTAGTTGTATTGATTAGTCTCCCTTCCTTGAACTATGACCCTTTTCCAAGAGGTGCTGCTATGTTGTGTAATTTCACGCTGTCATAAAATGAGGCTTTACTTGATGAACGTCTCTTCACAGTGGGATTGCTGCTTTATAAGCAATATGTGCTGTTTGCAGGCCTTCAGTGGAGCAGCGAAGTTTGGGTGAATGCTGTGGTTGGAAATGCAGATCAGTGTAAGTCAACGTCTGATTACAGATGCCCTGTACTGCCACACAGACGTGTGTGGTTTGTTTTGTTTTCCTCAGATAGGGTGAATTGCACAGTGTCGTATACTTACCCTGCTGCCTTGCACATCAAAACATTGCACAGGCAGAGAAGTTTGCATTGTGCTTTGATTCATGTACCCATCACCTCAGGCTTCGATGCCCAGTGCCCAGTGGGTCTCAGCAACTTACCTAGTGTACAGAGAGTATTCCCAGCAATGCCTACTACACTAATACTGTGCTGTTCATCTTCTAGATATAACAGGTATAATTCCTAAGGAACTCATCTATAAATAGACTACAAGGGACAACGATGACAATGTATATATAGTTAACAATACTGTAAATATTTTAAGTAGGATGTGGGAACAGTTTTTAGATTAGTCCTTGCTGTTGAGTGTTACTAGCTCATTAAATTTTTTCCAAGCCTCTTGGTATTGGGTGTGTCTCTTAAAGCTCTAACTCTGTCTCGGTGACTCTGGAAAAAAGTACTTAAAACGTGACCCAAGGACCTGCAACTCCGTGGAGAGAAGGGAAAAGACGCGCCTGCCCGCTCGTCGCTGCGGGGCGGCCCGGGAGCCGCCGGGGCCCCGCTCTGGCCCGGCCCGGCGGCGGAGCGGGGCGGGCGGGGCGCGGCCGCCGGAAGCCGCGGGGCGCCCGGAAGGGGCCGGGCCGGGCCTGGCTGCGGCAGCGGGCGAGCACAGCGGCGGCGCCATGAGCAGCCTGCGGGAGGAGGATGATCCGTACGTGGTGGAGGAGCCCAGCGACGAGGAGCGAGCGCTCAGCAGGTGCCTGGAGCTGCCGGCCGTGGGGGAGGGCTCGGGCTGGCGGCGGCGGGCCCCGGTCCCCGCCTGGCGTGTGCCGGCCCGGGCGCGCAGCGACGCCGGCGGTGCCGAGCCGTGGGTCTCGCACGGCGCTGGGCATCGACCCCGGGCTGCCCGCGGAGTGCAGGAGGATCGGCCTCACATCAGCCGCGGCGATTTCCTTGAAACCGGCGTATTTCTGACCGCGCAGCTCCCTGCGCGGAGCGAGAGCTGCCGGGGGCATGGTGGCAGGCCGCACGCAGCCGGCTGAAGCGCCTCTGCGTTTGAACCAGTTTCAATACCGCATAGCTAGTAAAGTGTTCTAATATGTACATTGCCCATAAACTTAGGAGTAAATGCTCTCCCGTGCACTCACACAGTTCAGGTGTTCATTCTCCAAAGTGATATGTCCACGCTGTAGCCTATATGTAATAATCAGATGTGTACCACCTCAATGCTTGTAGCTCAGAGGATGAGGTGGACGTGCTCCTACATGGTACTCCTGACCAGAAGCGGAAGCTGATACGGGAGTGCCTGACTGGTGAGAGCGAGTCTTCCAGTGATGATGAGTTCCAAAAGGAGATGGAAGCAGAACTAAACACCACCATGAAGACTATGGAAGGCAAATGGAAATCACCCGAAATGGGTAAATCAAGCTTAACATCTGCTTGCATATGAAATAATGAATTATGTGTTAGTGGCCAAATCATCTTTAGGTAGTGGTTGTACTGTTAAGAATATGTAGCAGTATTTACATTACACATCCATACAGCACAGAATAGGAATTATGACGCGGAGGGGCTGTGACTGCTTGGCAGTTCATGTAGGCATTTTTGAACTTCTGTGGCCCTGAAATTTTGGGGGACTTTTTTAGTGAATTTTATTGTAATCAAAGTTTGTGAAACAGTGTTCCACACCTGTATGTCCTTCACGTGACTAAAGATATTGTGTGTGTATTCTGTAGGGCACAGACAGGCATATTTGATGTGGTATCCTCTGTGTCTAAAGGGAGTGTTAGGAGAAACTGTCCTTCAAATGGTACCTGAGGTTCATCCTTGAGGGAGGAGGGCGCAGCTTTGCTCTGAGAATGCCTGTAAATGAAGTAACACAAGTGATGTGAATGATAAGGGTATGGGAATAAACTGGGAGAGCTGTTATTTAACACACCCAGGTAGAACAGAGCACTCTGAACAGAGTAACTTGAAAGTAAAGGTTTGTTCTGGGCTTTATACTTGATGTCCTTTTAGTGGGGTGTTCTTAACACTTCTAATTTCACCTGTAGGTACTTCCTCAAGCACTGGGCTGACTGGATCTGCCAGCACTTCAAAATACTATGATGATGTTTACTTTGATTCTGATTCAGAGGATGAAGATAAAATAGGTAAATGACAGAGGCAAGAGGAGGGCATCTTTATAGTAACTCTCACTCTCTTGGATCCTGTAGAATCCTCTTGGCGGGGTCAAGAGGCTGTTTTTGAAGGCAGCATTTTTGAGGGGAATTATCAGCCTGTATCATCTCAGCATAGCTCTTGCAATTTTATGATGTATTCCAGTGTAATGCTCTGGCATCATGCACTTGGAGGAGAGATGAGCCAGGCATTTAAGTTTCAGGTTTGATTTATTGCAAGGATGGAAAATGAAAATTGGAAATTGTATATGGTATATTTTGATAATTTGTGTCTGATGGATGTAATGTGTTCATGCACAATTTTTTTCTAGATACACAGGATGTCCGGAAAAACAGAAAACATCAGCAACGTCGGATTCTCTCCAATGATGAGCTGCTGTATGACCCAGAAGAAGACAGCAGAGACCAAGAGTGGGTAGACTCACAGAGGAGAGGGTAAGCAACCATAAATACTTGAATTGTAAGATGCTTAACATCAACTGAAGATTTTAAATGAAAATGGTAAATGTAGAGAAAAAGCCAATGCTGTCAAATCCATTATATGAAACTTTTTTATATATAAACTTAAAGCATAAGAAACTTAAATGCCTGTAAAATGTTTTGGGTGTATGTAATGGAAGCTGAGTCTTCAAAACTACACAAAATTTCAGAATTTTAAAAATCAAGATTTCCAAATTCTCTAAGCCAGTTTTGTCTGTGGATCTCATCTAAACAATCATGCTATGAATTAAAATGTTGCAAGATAATTTGATTGCTGATTAATATTTATTCCTGATAAATACTGAATTTCTGTTTTTGGAAAACTTTGAACTTAGCAAGCCACAAAATGTGCAGGGAAACAAGAACAATACAAAGGTACTTTAATGAGGGTTTTTGAAGGTTGAAGTAGAAAAATGGTTGTTGCAGCAACAACAGGTTGTTGCAGTAAAATTTCCCACTTCAATCTGTTGAGTAAGATAATGAATGTTGCCTGCGGAGATCTACGAGAGATACCTGCTTTGTCAGAGGACAGGGTTGTTAGGCACAAATTCTCATGCCAGATGTATTTGTGTCACCAAATGAAAATACTCTGTAAATCAAAAGATACTGGTATGTGTTTTCCCCTCACCTTCTCATTTGTATTCTTTGAGTTAATGCAAAAGGTATCCAGAATGAGCCAAGTATTAATTGGTGTATTTTAATGCAAAGAAGGGTTTGACAGCGAATTGATACGACCAACAGCAAGGGCACGTCATTTCACTTTCTGTCTCTGCTTCCTCCTCTCTCGAATTGGCAGGTACCGTAACCAGAGAAGAGCACCACAGCAGCGGCAGGCAAAACCTGCAGCTGTTCCAAATAGTGATGCTGTTCTGAACTGCCCTGCCTGCATGACAACACTGTGTCTGGACTGCCAGAGGTAACAGCAGTGAACAATGAGGGGTCTTTTTGTAATTTCTTTTTCTTGGTCAGTGGTATTGTTAGTATATTTAGTTTGATCTATGGATTTTTATCAACTCTGTCTTGTAAGGTGGCCCTAATAACAAGAAGGCACGTAGGTGTGAGTTAGATTTAGGGTTAGATGCTGGTTTGTAAGAGCGATGATCAGTTTGATCTGCAGTGTGGAGATGGGGAAGAACAGGGTAGAATGTTAGTATAGCGGAGTAGGTAAAATTTAAAAAAAATAATAATTGTGGAGACTCAACAGGCATTTCAGGCAGACTGGAGATTTTAGAGAAACATATCTCTGTATATTTTGGCTTGATGTTTAGAGGCATAAAGCTATTATTGGTTATTTTTGTCTAAAAATGTCTTGTTAAAGGAGGATTAAGCAAAATGAAGATCATGTATTCTTGCTTGGTTTGAGTCTCAGCAGTTAGGGTTTTGAGTGCAGTTACATTTAAAAGTGCCGGGAAGGTATTTAGGTGAGAGTCCACAGTGTGTTTTGCTACTCTTCAGTATCTGACTGCATTGCAGGCCTAGTGCTGTAAACCTGTGCTAAGGAAAGGACTCTAGAACTGGGAGTAAAGTAGAAAGAAATCTTCCGAAACAAGGAATAAAATGCCTGTCATTTTTTGAGTATTTTTGGTG